TGTATCATGAATCCTTATCAAGGTTGGGTCAAAGATTCTATGGTGTGCCTTGTACTGAAAGGTATGGACAGGAACCATGGTTGAAACTAAAATATAAATATCATAAAGGAGCACAATCTTCCTTTCCTTCCTGGTATAGTCTCCATCCCTGTAAACAAAATCCATCAAGGAATGTCTCCATTATTTTAAAGTTTTATGTAATTCTTTACTTAAAAAAATTTTTTTTTCCCAAAGTGTAGGGACCATTGTCAAACAGGGTCACAAAGACTGTAAAATCCAGGGGTGGTGGATGACCACAAAGAAATGGAGTTTTCCAAACAGCTTGTTGGTTTCTCGTATGAATGCACATCACTGGTGACAAGCATGAACCAGATCCATTCAAGTTTAAACCATACAAAACCCAGCATAAAAGTGGGAACTGGGTAAGAATGCCAAGTCTCACCGGAGGAATTATTCACAACTAATAACTGTTCGTAGAGAGAGAGTTAGTTTTCCTCATGGGAGTGACTGTAAAAAGGTTGACTAGGCTCCAGTGGATGAACACATACTGAGAGACATTTGGGGACACAAACTATATATATATATACATACATGAAATTCGATGGGGTAGCAACTGTGTGGAGTGCAGATAGTGGAGGGGATCTAAATATGACAAAGGTGTATTATATGAATTTAACAAAATATTCAATTAAAAACAATTTTAAATGTATCTTGAAGCAGGAAAAGGTGAAGCACACCTTTAATCCCACCATTCAGGAGGCAGAGGCAGTTGGATCTCTGTGCAATCGAGGTCAGCCTGGTCTTTTTATTAAGTTCCAGGCCATCTGGGGTTACAAGGAGACCCTGTTTCAAAAGACAAAAAAAAATCTCTATGGCAGTTCTGTGAGGTACTATGTTACTACATTTACAACCTAGAAACTACAGGTTTAGTAAGTTACACAGCTGGGAGTGGGTGTTCTGCGAATCTAAACCAAGTAGACAGGATACTTTCCGAGAACCAGCTCTTAACTACTGCAAAAGTATTCTTCCTCTAAAAAAGTATCATCACTTAACATGATTGACATCTTCTCTTTCATTTATTGTCTGCTTCTCCCACTGAAATTCGGGTTTTTTTAAAGCTCTTCAGTGACCAGAGATTTCCTGACATTTAAAAGGTGCTCATGACATATATAGCATATTATTTAACATGTTATGTACATAGGGGCTGTGGATACAGTTACATAGTGGAATGCTCGTGTACAGCAGGTGCAAGGCCCTGAGTTTGGTCACTAAAACCACAAAACAAAAGTAAAACAATATATAAATTAAAATAAAATTGCATAGATTAATGAGACAAAGTGTTTTGAAAAATGACCGAGTTTCATATATTGGCTTACACCTCAAGAAAAATTCATATATCACAAATGTAGAATTTTAAAAATTATTCATTATACACTGGACAATATTTCTCTGAATTGCATTATGCTAAATGACACACCAAAAATATCATCCTCCACATTTCCAGTCCACTTCAAAGGAATTTATAGGTAAATTTTTCAGATTATTTCATTCTTATCTGTTTATTAGTACAAAAATTATTGAAATATTAGAGTACATACACAGATGAGATCTTATTAGCATTCTGGAAAAAAAATTAAGCCATTTTAATGTGACTTTAAATAAAGTTTCCACATTAAGACAAAGCATAATTTCACATAATGTTACTTTTCCCACCAAATTCCAGTGCTGATAAAGGATTTTGAAATCTTCTGAACTTGTAAAATCTCTTAAGAATGTGTTCTCATGAGAAGTGAAACGCATCTCTGCAGTATCAGCTCTTTATGAAGGGTGAAAAGTTTAAGGAAACAACAACACGATAATCATTATAAATTTCAAGGTTAACTGGTTTGGAAACACAGCCCTCATTTTCTGCTGTTTTTTGGTCATTAAAGCAACATAGTTTCATTGAAGATGATGTGAAATACAACTTCTGTCGTTCTATCATTATAATACAAGAAAAAAATTCCATGAGTTTTCACATGAAACTTGAGTCTTTGCTCATAAGTCTCAATGTTACACGTATGTCTAATACACACATCAGTTGGTATAACACATTTTTCTTAAAATCATTTCAGTTTCTTTCCTCACTGAATGTTTTCTCTAATTTAAAATAATGGGCAGTATAATATTTAATCAAACACATGTATCTTACTTCAATAGTCATTTTCCTGTAATGCCCCCTCCTTTCTAGAGCACACTGTTTTACTAATATAATAAGGATGTCATAAGTGTTGTGATAATTCAGGCTTATTCTTTTGATATGCTTTTGTAGGATTATTCGCCAAAGTTGAACTATCAGGAAAAAGGAAAACTATTTTGACCTTGTTGGTATCTACTACTGTGTAAAAAGATGGTAAAAAATTATAAATGTTTCAGTAATATGTAAATATGGACATTTTAGAGTAAGTTCAACACCATAGAATTGTTTCAACTTTAGTAGGACTTATGATACTTTAATATGCTTCCTCTTCATGTTCTTATTATTAATATGGATGAGATATTTCCATGAATCACGGTATTTGTTATACCTCTTAGATGCTGTCTATTCATAGCCACTGTATGTATATGCAAAAGAAACTTTTATTTTTTTTGGTCTTTTTGAGACAGGGTCTCCCTATAGCCCCAGCTGTCCTGGAACTCACTATATAGACCAGGCTGGCCTTGAACTCAGGGATCCTCCTGACTCTGCCTCCTGAGTGCTGGGATTAAAGGCGTGTACCACCACGCCTGGCAAAAGAAGCATTCTTATACCTAAGCTCATTATGTCTAGATTATGCTTATCATATGTCTTTGTTGTTGTTGATATGGTTCCAGGGATTGAACCTACAACCTCATATCTGCTAGGTAAAACGTTCACAGCTGAACTGCACACCCAGTCTTCTTTTACTTTGCATTTTGGGACAGAATCTCACTAAGCTGCCCAGGGAGTCACTGTAGTCATTTCATATCCCAAGCAAGTCTAGAGCTTCTTATGCACCAGCTTCAGCCTTCAAGTAGCTAGACTCACAGGCCAATGACAATGGGCCTAGTCATTTGGCTTTTCACATTTACCATATTTTGCTTCTTCTAAGGTTGATCCATTCTTAGACTTGCCATTATATTCTTTGGGCAAATTTCATCTTAACATTAGGGTAAATAGCCACATGGTCATCTCCCTTATTGTTTTAAAATGAAAAACTTCAGGTCAGTTCCAGCTTGATTTCTCTAAGTCCTGTGTTTGAAATGTGTGGCTTCTTCAATAATATAGTCTTACCTTCAAGTTTGAGGAGTGAGGGAGAATGTGGGAGGAGTTGGAATGGGAAGAAGTGAAGTTGGAATGATGGAAATACAATACTGATGTAGGGAATTCTCAAATTAAAAAGTAAACATAAATGAAATGAAAACCTTGATTTTTTAAAAGATGTTGAAAATGCATGTCAATCTTTGAAAAATGTTAGTACATCTTGTGCAACCAATCAACCAGTATCTCTGTACTGAGGAACAGGTCTATCAAAAAGATTCTAGAAAGAAATGGAAGCATAGAATGCCTGATGCCAGTGACACTCATCCTTAGAGGTAAAAGAGAAAGAACATCAACTTTTTAATCTAACACCTAAAAAATGGTGCCATTTGTTTTACCTGTGTGGTCTTAAGCAAATATTTCAACAGCTTAGAATTATAGTTTTTTTATGTATGTGAATTATAATATTAATTTAAAGAATTACTATGAAAATTAAAATAAGTTTTAAAAGTTCTTAGCACACAGAAAGCTAGCAACAATTGAATCATCACTATTTCCAAAATGAATATTAACAGGCGTCTTAAATTTTAGCTTTAAGGAAGCTCCATGAGTTACACAGTCATATCTTCTGTGTTCTGCAATTTAGGAAACGAAACCTAAATGGATTAAGTATTTAGTCAGTGTTATACAGCGGGAGGTAAAGGTGCTGAGACCTGAAAGCAAGAAGACAGCAGATTTGTACAATGTGACTGCCGGTCACCATGTGAAGGACTCATCATCTCAGCTCTGTGCCAATTCCTCCACAGCTCCACGTGGCAAGTTACAATGCCAGGCCTGATATTATGCTGTGTGAGTTTTACACATCCATCAAGCTCAACCTAAATTGCAATATCTACATCAAGTATTTTTAGACTTTGTTTACCCTTGGAAGTAACTGGCCTCTCCTATATTCACACAGTGGTTACCTGTCACAATTTTATTCTGTGTAGTCTGTTCAAATTACTTCTGTTTGGGCGTATGCTTTAGGTCATAAAATTCCCAGACATTATATTTTTGTTTAGTTGGTTTTTTGAGCCACATTCTCCCTGCTGCTCCAGATGACATGAAACTTATTATGCTGACCATACTGGCCTTCTTCTCACAGATATCCACCTGCCTTTGTCTCCTGAGTGCTGTGCTGGGATTAAAGATATGTGCCACTACATCTGGTCCAGAAACTGTATCTTATTAATATCCCTTCCATATCCTGTTCAAGAAATTATCTGTAGAAGATGGCCTAACAAATACTCACTAAATTAACAAGTAAAGATAATAAAACCATTTAGTTAAAGCCAAATATGTCTGTGAAAAAAAAAGACAAAGAGTAACTAAAAGTTATTAACTCCACATTGAATAAATCCAGCATTTTAAGAAAATATGCTGTTATATGAGAAAATATTAGTTAATATGAATATAATGTAATGTATTTTATGATCATTGGTACACATACAACTGTGTTTTCATTAGTGAAAACCTTAGCAGAAATTTCTATCATCTTATCTTTTAAACCATGAAATGAAATTATTAGTGACAAAATGAAAGTTCTTTAGAAATTATTGATAAGGCACAGTACAATATATCTCTGTCTCTCTCTGTCTCTGTCTCTATCTACCCCCCCACAAGAACCACACTCACATGTGAACACATAGTAAACCCATGCAGTCAAACAAAATAATTTTAGAAAAAAATAAATAAAATATACCTCTTTCATTGTTGATCATAAAGACGGCACACTGAGTTGCCCACTTCTTTCTCTTTACAAATGAAACCTAAAATGTTTATCACATAGTATTTCAGCATCTGACCCACAAGGAAAGGAAATGACACAGTTTTGTGTTGCGAATCTTTGAAATTTATTTCAATAGCTGTCTCATCAATGCACTAGTTTGCAAATTCTAAATTTGTCAGATAACTCATTCCTCTTTCCTAACAGGACATTGTAAAGAAAAAGAGAAGTAAAACAGAAAAGAAATAAGGATATTGGGGCAGCCCAGAATTATCCTCATATCTATTGAGCCTGATTAATAAGTTGTTATGGCTTCTACAAGATTGTTTCCTTTGTTCATCTTTCAGCCATTTGGTGTTGACAGAAGATGCCATGTTTGGTTTGCTTTGTCGTCCTTTTTCCTGTGCCTTCATAGGAAACACTAAAGCATGAAAGCTTGAAATCCCAAACATAAGGAAAGGATACGGCACTTAACAAATGAAATTTTGGTGCCACAGTGGTCACCTCAGCTCTCTGCAATGAGATCAGGTTTATCTCGCTTTTTATTTTCCTGGAACATATAGAACAGAAGGGAACTCAAGAGTCCATTCAAATGAAAAGAAAATCCTTTACCTTCTCACACACTCTCAGAGGTATCTACATTTTATTTTAGTCGTATATAAACAATTGACAAGTTCCAGTCTGGTGCACTTAAAAAGTTCAATATTACAAGTGATGTTTATGAAAGGAGATATGTAGGCTATATCACATATCCTCTTTTAAGTGTTCTAAGGAAAGAGGATCATATGATCTAACAAAAATGTCCAAATCAGAAAACTCAGGGGCACTGCCTGTCAGAAACCAATGTATTGTGCAAAGAATGCAGGAATGACACAGCATTTGAGAGACACAAATGCTATGATGTAATAACTATTAATAATGGTAATCATAGCAATATGGTCTATTTCTATAGTAATTAGTAGAAGTCTAATAGTGGGGCAGGAATATAGCTCAGTCTTAGACCACTTGTATAGCTTAGAGGAAGGGCCCTCTATTGAATCTCTACCATCACACAAAAACATTAAAAATAAAACTTAAAGGCAAAAAGTAAAATAGTCATTAAAGCAAGCCATGTAATTACTAGCCAAGAAATTTTAGATAAACAGTAGAATCATAAATCCACCCAGAAGTGTTAGCACAAAGGTTATGGTGCTATTTCAAAGACACAGTGGTTTAAGTTTATTATGTATTTTTTGAGGAAGAGGAAGTAAAAACTAACATCAACTCTCACTCAATTCCCCTTATTATTATTATTTATAAATACCTCTCCTTGTAGAGTATAGGGTTCTAACAACTGCAGTATAAAAATCACTTTGTATCCTTGCATGGCACTGTATGTCTGTGAACTAGAACTAGGAGACTGAGGCAGGAGGATATAAATTTTGAGGCCTGATGGACTGCATAGTGCGATCCTGTTCAGGAAAACAAAGAATCTTTTGTTATATCTTTAAATGTAGATACACTATTAAACTTCAATATTGTAAGAGTAAGATTTGGGAAGTCACCAGCTAAGATATCAACTTTCCAAAAATCTTTTTGTTTGCTTGTTTATTTGTTTTGAGATAGGATCTCCCTATAGCTGCCACTGACTTGGAATTTACTGGCTTCAGTCGGATAGAGCTCCATCTGCCTTTGCTGTCCCAGTGTTGGGATTAAATCATGTGTGACCATGCGTGTCTCAAATTTCTGTTATAATGAGCTTTCTAGACTAGAGTGGACTGTGTTTCTAGTCTGTGTGTAATATTGTTAACCATATACCCGCACTTCACAATGCTGACCACTTCCCTTCTTATTTCCACTTTCTTTGAACAATCCAGTTGTTCATGAAAATGCTCTCATAACTTCTTATATGATTATGTTTATGTGTGCATTCTATAATGTATTGTAGTATGTCGTATTATCTAGGGATTGGGCCTTTATTGATCCATGTAATTTCAGCCACTCTGCTAAGTGATTTTTCTGATTAAGAAAGTGTGGTGGGCCAAGGAGATGACTCAGCAGGTCTTAAAGTTGGCTGCCACCAAACTTGACAACCTGAGCTTGATCCCCAGAACCCACATGATGGAAAGAGAGAACTGACTCCTGCAAGCTGCCCTCTGACCTCCACACACACACATTGTGTTATGCACCGCCCCCAATAAAAACAAAATGTTATAAAAAGACTTGAAGATGTACTTAAGTAAACTTCTCAAAATAATAGACCTATGAACTATTAGAGGTAGTAGTCAAATGTATATTGATTTCAAAACTCATCATAATATAGTCTTTCTTAATCTGTGGTCAGAAGATGTACCATTGGGGAATATATGTGTTCTCCATTAGAAGTGTTACATACAAAATAACTGACAAACATGGGCATATTCTGGGCTGTCTTGGTGGTCACCTACCATGAATACTGTGATGGCATGTATCCCTTCACTTCAGTCCTTCTTCAGCTGAACAAGAAGCTATGTGAAGTACATATATGCCAAGTTTTCAAATGAAAGTTCACAATTAAATGGGGAAATGTATCAGGAAAATTGAATTGAATGACCCAGAGTTCATTGTGGTAAAAGCTGAACTCAAAGGAAGAACCAATATGTTGTAATCACTAAGATTTACTTGTATATCACAAATTGCAGCTGGCCATTAATCATAAGAGATAAGATATGACATAGGTGTGATACATTTTCAAAGATAATATTTTTATGTTCTGAATTTAAAACAATAAATCTTGACTTAAATACAAAATTTAGCAATTCTGAAGCAGATATATATTTCTATGTGAATAAAAATGAGTGCACGGAATTGTCAAAGCAGGGCAAACTACATTCTGAAATCTGGAGAGGAAGTAAAATACAGAGAACCAGAGCAGAGATTGGCTTCATACAGCAGAAACCGCTGGAGACACAAATTGGTAGAAATATAAGACACATAGAAATTGTTTTTACTAAAATCACGGATTCCTCACTGGAACCCACAAGATAACTTCAAGCAGGACAAAAGCTCCATGCCTCTGCTCTCATTTTATATTTGTTTCCTTTAGGTATTTTGCCGCAAAGATGAACCATGGTCATCAGAAGTTTGTTCATCTAGATCACCTGACAATAAGGCCCTGGCCTTCCTTCGTTTTTCAGATCCTTTACTACAAAAGACTTAAAAATTTTATCTTTATCTTCACCTTTCAAGTGTGCGTATATAAGACTCAGCCATGTCTTTCTGAAAGACCTGAAAGCCATTCCTTTGATTACTGGTCTATAGGAAGGAAGCCGTCTCTTGGTCTCAGTGAGAATAGAAATCTTCTCATTCATTACTCTGAATCTCCTCTCCACTTTTCTCTACCCTTCTGCTTCCCCTGGAGGCTGACTCATTAGTCAGAGTCAAGTGGTTGCCTTGACCTCTAACTCCTGACTGTATTGGGCAAAAGGGAAGTTTAGAAACAGATTTGTGAAAGGAAGAAGAGTTATTTTACATATCAACTTCCAAATAAATTATCCAAAACTGAAGTAAACATTTATACTTGGAGTGCCTATAGCTTTTTAAGGAACTGTTTGATCTCTATAAGCAGAAAATATCTATGTCTTATGGGTAAAATGTTGATAATAATATTTCATATTTATATATTCCTTAGTCTCTTTGTTTCAAAGATACAAAACTTATTAGTTCCAGAACTGTGCTATTTCAAATCTCTACCAACTCTACAGGGATGGCTTTGAGGAACCTTCCTGCAATTTGGCAAGATTTTAGTAGGAACAGTAATGTCTTAATAACACAGTCATCACAAAAATGTCCATGTCCTAATTATTAAAAGAAGTTTCATTACAGGGCAAAGGAGAATTACAGTGGCATGTGGAATTGCAATTACACTGAACTCACTCAGAGGACATTAAAGCAAGGAGATTGTTTTGGATTATCTGAGTGAGTCCCATGTAACCAGAGTCACAGTTGAAAGAGAAGATGGAAACAGAATAAGAGAGTCAGAGAAAACCATGTCAGGAGAGAATAATCAGAAAGATGCAAGGTTGTTGAGGTCTAGGTAGGACCTCAAGAAGGCCTGAGTTTGAATTAGACTCTAAGCTGTTTATCAGTTTATCATTTATTTGATGTTGTTTCATCTGGAGACATGATAACTGTCTTTGGCTGAAAACCTTCTAGACAGTTTCAACTGCAGTGAGTCCTACTGTGTGAATCTTTAGCATAGGAAGGGTCTATTTTGCCATCAGAAGACTGAAAGCTCTAGCAGCCAGTCTCCTTGTCCTTCGACAAAGAGGGTGTAAACAGTGACCTAAGCCAGGCAAAGTATGTGATCTCACTTGAGATTTGGAGGGTGAAGGAATAATGCAAAGATGTTAGAAGAGCTAAGAAACTATTATTATCTATATCTGGAATGGGGGTCCAGCAAAAGATTTGTTTCCAAACACACAGTGTTGGTAACAGTGTCAGAAAGCAGCATCAACAGCTGAAAGAGGCTCTGGGCTGAGTGTCTAGTTGTGTCATTGTTTCTGCGTTCCCTTTGCTCAAGCTCAGTGCTTGTATAAGAAGCCTGCTGTCCTGCAACTTCTTTGCTGCTTACACTGACCACAGTTCGTACCCCTACAATGGTGAGGCTGCTTGATGGAACCAAAGCAGCAGCTGCTATGGGAAAACCAGATGATTAGAAGAACACTGATTACACTCTTGGGTGCTCTCCAGGCCTGGTTTCTTTCTTTCTCTTTCTTTCTCTCCCTCTCTCTCCCTCTCTTCCCTCTCTCTCACACACAATTTAGTTTTCATAATTAAGTTTAAGTAACTTAAGCTATCACAGTTATCTTTACAAGTGCCCTGCTCTCTCTACCAAGTCATAGAAAGTGTAACCACATAGATACTTTCATGAAATTTCATTTCTCTTAATCATACATATAATGGACTTTGGGACTTGTGCTAATGATCCATTTAGAGATAGACGTTCTCATTGACTAAATCTATGGAAAAAGCATAGTTAAGATTTCATTAATTAGGCTCAGGCATCTGAGTAGATCCTCTGAAGTCCTGCAGCTCTCTGCAGGACAAGGATGCCATCCAAA